CTGGTGAAATTTTGATCTTAGACAAGCGCCTAGATAAAGAAATAATGGGACAAGACTTCTAAACCAAACTATGTGCTTAAGAGTCATCCTCGCCATTGGCGCTGTCTCTGTCATCCTCTCCTTCCTCAGCCTCTTTTTCATCATCCTTGATCAACTCCAGCTGCGAGAAACAGATACAAATAGTGGAGTTAGAGACACTCGGAGTGTCCCTGAACCCCTCCGCCTCCCCCACACCTCTTTCTTTATTTGCCCACCGTTTTCACCTGGTCCTCCGCCCGATCTTCATTTTCATCATCATCCAGTAGATCCCCCTCCTCAGCAGAATCATCCGCAGCACCCTCAGATTCCATCTTCACATTAGTCTCATCTTTCTTTTGGGAAGTGGTAGTCTGCTCCTCTTCGGTCTTATCATTCTTCATCTCCACTAAGGATGAGAAGGACAAATCTCATGGAGCAAGGATGTAGACAATCCACACAGGTGCTCTTCCTAATTCAAACACCCTAAGTTTCATTGTTAAATTGCTTTACATTACACTAATTCAATATATATTTTCAACTCTCCTTAGGTAAATAACCCAATTTTATAACAAGAAAATAATGTCATTACCTGCTTGTTTGCTCTGTTCCTTTTCAATTTTTTCTAGGCTTTCCAGTAAAGAATCCACTTTTTGTTTTATCTGGGTCAACTCCTTCTTAATGGCCTGAAGATCATCACCTTTCACTGTAACATAAATAGTATCTTAGATTGCAATTAAAGCAGAATCTGCTAGTTACCAAATACAGTCCCACTACACTATACCACAAGCCAAAAGCAGAGGCCTGGGGAGAAATCGGGCCAACACCTGATTATAGACAAAAAAGATGACCTGCATATTTGCCTTAGCAAGTGTCATAACTATAAATAAAGTCTCCAAAAAATGTATAAAACAGTTTCCAACGCACTTGTACTAATAACTATCTGGGAGCTAATGGCAAACAAATTTGAGCACTCCCGGTAACTGTTATTAATCTCATGTCATCAATAAATTCAGTATTATAATAAATAGCTAAGTTTTCCTGATATATTTTTAGATATTTTTATCTAAATCTTTGAAGCAGCCTGTGTGTCCACCAAATGGACAAGGAAGCTAGATTTATACTCAGTGGAGTACTACAGTCATAAAGGATAAATCTGGGCCATATAGAAAAACAAATATACCTTGAAATACAATCAGACACATAAGCTTAAATATCACAGAACTTCTCTTATATGAGAAACCCAGAACATTAAAAAACAAAATAGGCAATATCCAACAGAAAACATCTTCTGCATATAAGAAGCATAACAGAGATGAAGGGGAAAGAAATTTTGTTTGTGCCTTTTGTTTGTGCCAAGCTATGTTCATAAAAGCTCAATTCTTTAAGTCTAATTTCTGTACTTAAATACAAAAATCACAAAGCCAAAAGAACATACACTTTCCAGACTTGGATGAAGATCCACGCTGGCCACTCTTAGAATTGAAGCCACTTTTGCCTCTTCAGGAGGTATTTCCTGATACACGCTGGCGTTTCGAGGGCACTACAGCCCGAGCAATAGGAGGAGGTGGAGGAACACGTGCTGGGTAACTGTACATCCTATTGGACAGAAGAGTAACAGAATTCCTTCACACTTAACAAGCTCCAAGAGTGACCTTACAAAAATCATATCCATTGTCCTTCAATGCTTTTTTTCCTTTTCTTTTTAAAGGACCAGATCCCACTATGAAATACTGGCTGGCCCTAGATTCAATCAAGGTCTCCTGCCTCAACTATTTCAATGAGATAATAAGCATGAATCATCATGCTGGTTCTCAGTCATTTTGTTAGGTTAATTTCGCTCTGAACACCAGCATAAACTGCCATTTCCTAGGAAATAGCTATTACATATATACACATATACTTAATGATACAAGGATAATTTGCCTTAAGCATTAAATATGAAAGCTTCTACAATATACATCTTCAAAAGTTTACATTTATGAGGATCTTTATCCTGGCTTTATTTTCACCTATGTAATGTACACTATAAACACCTCAAATAAAGCCAAATAATCAAGTCAGCAAATAATTCTTAGCCAAAACTTGATCTTTTCAGCCATAGAAACATAAAGTCATTACTAGTAATATGATCACCAACATAAAACAAGTAATGTAGACTACTTTTGAATATAAAAACAAGTGGTGCAGGGGCTGGTGAGATGGCTCAGTGGTCTGAAGCACTTACTTAGAACAAGCCAAGCAAAGCACAGGGACGGTGGTTCAATCCTCCAGCACCACATGCCAGCCAGCCCCGCCCCCTGGTGGGCTGAGCTGGCCACACACACACACACACAAAAATAAAAAAAATTAAAAAAAATAAAAAAATAAAAACAAGCGGTGCAGGTGTCTGATTAAAGAACCGGTCTCCCTAACTGTACTTAAAAGTTTGAACAAATGTGATACAAGATATTATGCAACACAACCACCACTGTTTAATTCCTATTGCTTTGTTTTGTGAAATTCTGTATCACTTTAATTTTTTTTGCTTTTTAAAATTTTATTTATGTGTGTGTGTGTGTGGCCAGCTCAGCCCACCAGGGGGCAGGGCTGGCTGCATGTGGTGCTGGAGGATTGAACCGCAGTCCCTGTGCTTTGCTAAGCGTGTTCTAAGTAGGTGCTTCAGACCACAGAGCCATCTCACCAGCCCAAATTTTTTTCTAAACTGCTTTGTAATGAGGTCTGGTGAGATGGCTCAGTGGACTATGTGCCTGGTTAAGCAAGCACTGGGGCGAGGGTTGATGCCTGGCACCACATGCTGTACTGGCCCCGGCACCAGGCACACTGAATCGGCAACCAAAACTGGGCTTGGCGGCGCACACAGGTAATCCCACTGCTGGGGAGGCTGAAAACTGAAGGATCACTAGGGAGATCCTATACCAAATACATACATTTTTTTAAAAAATTAAATTTAAAAAACCACACACACACATAGGTGTAATACAGCACACAACTTTAAACAAACTGACTAGGTATTTTGCATGTTTTCCAGGAATGTTAAAGGACAAAACATTTTACTAAAGAATGTATAGTTGGGTGCAGTGTACATTATCTATACTGTCACCTACTGAAGAGTCTAAGGGAAAAAGCATCCTTTGAGCACAGCTCAGAGACAGCCCAAACAACAACAAAAATGGTACACACTCAGGAGGCCGAGGCCGAGGCCAGCAGATCCCTGCGAGTTTGAGGTCAGATTGTGCTACAAAATGAGTTCAAGACTAGCCTGAACAGCGTAGTAATACTCCATCTCAAAGGCACAAAAAATTGGGGTGGCAAGATAGCTCAGCAGATTAAAGAGCCTACTCAGGCAGATGCAGGGACCACAGTTCAATCCCCAGCAAGCCTTGCCCGCTCCACCCCCCAGGGGTGTGCTGAGGCAGTGATTGAAACTGGGCATGGTGGCACGTGCCTCTAATTCCAGCACTTAGGAGGCTGAAAACCAGAGAATCTACATAGTCCAAGCTACATAGTGAGACCCTGTACTAAACACATAAAAAAGACAAAAGATTTGTAAGTAAAATAAACAGTACAAAAATGTATGAGTGTATGAGTACTGCCAAAAGCAAAATTTACTCAATAAACTTCACCATAGTATTATTTTCAGTCCTAGATACCACAGTGGATGCAAGTTTCCAAACCTTAACTCAGAAGACACAAAGATCATCACACACTGAGCCTTTAATGTGTCCATTTCAAATCACTTACATGAACTGTTTTTATTGTCGTTATCTTCCATTTTAAACTTAAAAACATTTAACATTTTGGTACCAAATTTTTCAAAATGAGTCAAATCAAATGTGTTGAAAAACTATACTTTCTGCAAGATGATACTTTTAAGGTTAATTTATGAAGTGAATAACCTGTACCTGTGAACATGAAAGTGAGCTCATTCCATATATCTAAATTACTTGCCAACCTATATACAAATCTTTACAGCTCCAGACTCCAACCAATGATCTGGCCATGCCAGATTCCCTATATTACAGGGTACTTAGATTTCCTTTTTACTCATAATCAAAACAAAGCAAGAGACAATGGGCAGGGGGGCTCCTACCTATAATTCCAGCACTTGGGAGGCTGAGAACAGGAGAATCACTATGAGTCTGATCTACATAGTGAGACCCTCTCCTAAACACAGAAAAAAACCCAACAACAACGCAAGAAAACAGTTTCTTTGAATCTTTGTAAAATCCTATGTATGAGCAGGGGCCGGGGAGATAGCTCAGTAGAATAAGCGCTTGCCTGGCAAGCACAAGGGCCTGAGTTCAAACCCCGGTTCCACAAAAAAAAAAAAAAAAAAATCCTATGAGCATAAATAGAACAAAATACTATAGTTCCTTAAAGTTTTTAAATTGAGTAGGTAGTAGTGCTAACAGGCAATGAGTGCCACAGCCATTATGTAGCGGCTCTCCTAATAGAAATGGACTGAGTCTGAAAGAGATTCTGCTGAGGAAGAGTACTACCTCGTATCTAAAAAACAACAACAAAAAACCCCTCAAACTACTGACTTCGAAAAAAGATGCCTGTTATTAGAGCTCTTGGGAGGCTGTAAACAGGTGGATCACTATGAGTCCAATCTAGTACTGAGACTCTGAACACCCTGTAGACCCTGCCCTAAAAATACAAAAAGACAAACAGACAAGACAAGACAAGACAAGACAAGACAAGACAAGACAAGACAAACTGGGTATGGGCCCCACAGAAAACAAACCTATTGTGGTAACTTTTCAGGTCCAAGCAACATGTAATAGGAAAAAAAAAACAGCTCTAACTACTGACTACATATTAAGTTAGCCATTTTCACTACATAAGTGCTGCTTATCAGTCATGTTTGAAAGATTGTTACATTAATCAAGTTTTACCTTTAAATTCAAGTATGAAGGCCAAGGAGATGGTTCAGTGGCATAAACATCTCCCTGGCACACACAAAGTCCCAAATTTAATCGCCCTTACCCCCGCCCCCCCAAAAGAAAGAAATTATCATAACAACATGCTCGCCTAATAGCTCAACAAATTAATAGCTCAGCTTAGGCAGAGGCAGGGACTAGGATCCTGCTGTGCTGAGGCAGCAATCAAGACTGGGCATGGTGGTACAGGCCTATAACCCCAGCATTTGGATGGCTGAAAACAGAGAATCATTAAGAGTCCTTTCTTTGTAGTGAGACCCTGAACTAAATACATTAAAAAAAAAAAAAAAAAAAAAAAAAAGGCCCACAGGCCTGGGGAGATAGCTGATCTAAGTACCTGCCTGCCAAGCATAAGGACCCAGGCTCCTACATGTAGTGCCAGCCTCAGACCCCTGGGCATTCCGAACCAGCCACAGAAACTAGGTGCGGTAGTACACATCTGTAATCCTAGCACCAGGGTGGTTGAAACAAGATGATCAGTATGAGTCGTAGCTGCATAGTGCAACCATATATATATATATATATAAATGTATGTGGTAGAGGGGCTCACTACGTAGATCAGACTCTAATGAACCTCCTGTTTTCAGCTTCCCAGGCGCTAGAATTACAGATAGGTGCCACCATGACCAGTCTCAGTACGCTATCTCAGGGTACCCTGGGGGTGGGGCAGGCACCAACCCCGGTCCTGGGTCTGCCCAAGCAGGTGCTTTAATTCGCTAAACTATCTGATCAGCTCCAATTTTTTTTTTTTTTGCGGAACCAGGAATTGAACTCAGCCCTTGCGCTTGCCAGTGAAGCACTTATTCCACTGAGCCTCCAATTTAAAAAACTGAAAAAATAACCAGGCCCAAAAGACAGCCTTGTTTTCATTAACATACTTTGCTTTTGTGCTTTAAAATAATAAGCTAGCACAAGATTAAGATCTAAAATACAGGGGCCAGGGAGATGGCTCAGTGGAATAGAATAAGCGCGTCCCTGGCAAGTGCAAGGGCCTGAGTTCAATCCCCAGTTCTGCCAAAAACAAACAAACAAAAAAACCCCAACCAAACAAACGAATTAAAATACACTGGTACATGTAACAATTATTCATGATCATAATCATCATGTATTATAAACACATACTAATTAATTAAAAGTTAAGTCAACTACCCAGCTACTTTTATAAATGGTGCTTTATTGCTGCCTATAGGTTTCTGGGAGCCATCTAAATTGGATAAGAATGATAATCAGAACCAGATATGGTAATGCATGTCTGTAAACCCAGCACTCTGAAGGTTGAGGGAGGAGAGCTGCTGTGAGTTTGAGGTTTGTCTTAACAAAGCAAGGAAAACAGGAAAAAAACATCACAATCACCTAAAACAGATTAAGTGGCAACAAAGCAGCATAATTATCTGTTTACCATCATAGCTGTACAAGTCACCTAACGCATAGGGGCACAGAAAGCTTAAAGATAAAACTTAGGCAATTATTTTGCCAGTAATTTATTTTACTAATGAAGCTAGTTATTATCTACTAGGGGTATTAATCTTATCTGAAATACATGACATAGAACATCAGAACTACTGCGAAGATAAATCATTGTACCCTACATGTAACAATTATATAAGTAAACAACTTTTTTTAAAAAATTGGTTCAATCCTCCATTAGACAAA